TAGACCAGTAATTATGGAAGTTGATACTGGTGTGTCAATGAGTGTCATTCCAGCAGACTTGTATCATGGGAAATTGCAGCACGTAAAACTGGATAAACCTACTTACAGATTCAAGTCCTACTCAGGGACATTACCTCTATTGGGTCAAGCCCAAGTCAAAGTGCAGTATGGTGACAAAATCATGTCTGACGTCTTGATTGTAGCAGATATCAAGGACCAGCCAGCAATTCTTGGTAGGAATTGGCTCGAAAGCATCCAGCCGAATTGGAGATCGGTGTTCAAAGTTGCACCAGTGAAGGATGATCCATTTCAAGGAAGTACCCAACATGGACTGTCTGAAATTCAACAAAAACATTAGGCAGTGTACGAGCCAGGTCTTGGAACCATGACAAATCACAAAGCTAAGATTAAAGTCAAATCTGATGCACATGCCCCGCTTCAATAAAGCAAGACCTGTACCTTATGCCTTGAGAAATAAGGTAGAAGCTGAGCTTGACAAACTTGTTGAGGAAGGAGTTCTCATTCCAGTTTCACACAGCAATTGGGCTGCTCCAATTGTTGTAGTACCGAAGTCTGACAAGTCGATTCTAATCTGTGGGGATTATAAGACTATACTATCAATCCTGTTTTGGATGTCGACAAGTACCCCCTACCGAACCCCCAGGATTTGTTCTCAACCCAGGCAGGTGGATGTTGTTTCACCAAGCTTGACTTATCACAGGCATATCAGCAGATGACTCTTTTCAGCTTAGCAGCGACCTCTCTACGTCATCCTTTTGTTTCAGGGAGGGAAGAGGGGATCTTTGTCCCTCCTTCGAACATAAAGGTTGACACAAAATCCCTGCCACTGCCGGGGATGCATTCGCATTGCGCAGCAATACAGATTGCAATATTTCTAGTTACATTTAGGGTAAATGTATGATTGAAATTTTCTCATGAGAAAGTATTTTTTTAAATTAGCTTATTACAAGGTCATACTCTAGGTCAGAAGACCTTGCAAGATACAATATACACATGTACGTCACATAAATGCCAAATTGGTTTGTATTGAACACATCTTCAAATATCAATTACTTTGTTTTATTAAATCGGTTGTTGCGCGCGCGCATGCTCAAATTTTTACCAACCTGTTTTTTCTTATTTTTCTGCTTCTATCAAACCAACTTAATATTGGGTGGCCTTCCTCCCCTTTCATATGATAGACACATGTATTATATGTGATAAGAGATATTTCACTCAAGGCAGTTTTGATGAAAAACAATATAGAATTGATTTTTCTTATGATTATGACTAGAAGTGAAGCTTTATAGCATGTGTTGTATAACATTGGGTAGATAATGATATAGGTTTTCTCGCCCAATTTCATCAGAGTTGCATTCGATTTCCTGAATAGGCGTTCAAGTTCTAACAATTTTCGTCAACTTTCTGCTCTCATGGTTCATTTACCTTCTTTGAGCATTCAATGTCGTTTTATATCATTCCTTTTAAATTGTATTTCATTCAATTTAGAGAGAAATCCTTTCAATTTAGTGACACAAAGTTGTCATTCAATTTCGCGCCAGCTGGATAGACGTTCAATTTCGTCCTTAATACCAATTTCAATTTCATTTATAAGCACACACCTTTGCACTTTGAACGTTCGACATAAATTAAAATAAACAATTTGTGTAGTTCTATGTAATTCTTACCGCAATTTGTTCACGTCATATTAACTTTTTTCACTGTTTTAAATCATATAATTTCATTTTCATTTTTTAAACTTTCATACTGTTTATTTTAATCATATTTTGTATATTTCTTTTATTATGCCTCCGTTACGAAGTAGCCGGAGGCATTATGTTTTCGGGTTGTACGTCCGTCTGTACGTACGTACGTCCCGTTCTCGTGATCGCGTTATCTGAAGAACCGATTGATGGAATCCTGCCAAACTTTGGTCATGTATGTATCTTGCAGAGCCGATGAATTGATTAGATTTTGGGGTCACGAGGTCAAAGGTCAAAGGTCACAGGGCTCATTATGTATTCAAAAACAGCTCGTGATTGCGTTATCTGAAGAACCGATCGATGGATTCCTGCCAAACTTTGGTCATGTATGTATCTTGCAGAGCCAATGAACTGATTAGATTTTGGGATCACGAGGTCAAAGGTCAAAGGTCACAGGGCTCATTATGTATGCAAAAACAGCTTGTGATCGCGTTATCTCAAGAACCGATTGATGGATCCCTGCCAAACTTAGGTCATGTATGTTACTTGCAGAGCTGGTGAACTGATTAGATTTTGGGGTCATGAGGTCAAGGTCAAAGGTGATGCGGTTCATTATGTATGCAAAAATAGCTTGTGATCGTATTATCATTAGAACAGATTGATGGGTTCCTGCCAAAATTAGATCATTTATGGATCTTGCAGTGCCAATGAACTGAGTAGATTGTTGGTTCATAAGGTCAAAGGTCAAAGGTCATGGGCTCATTATGTATGCAAAAATAGCTTGTGGATGCATTCTCATTAGAACTGACAGATGGATTACTATTTAACTCAGGACATCTTGCAGAGCCAATGAACTGAGTAGATTTTAGGGTCATGAGGTCAAAGATCAAAGAGTCATATATGTATATGAGAAATTGCTTGTAATCACGATATTCTGAGAACCTGTTAATGGATTACAATTGAACTTGAATTTGAAAAATTTCGTCTGTTTTGGTTTGTAAAATTGCTCTATGACGGAGGCATCATTTTTGACTGCGCGCAGTCGAAGTTCCATCTAGTTTCTTATCTTCTCTTCCAGTTTCACTTTATTCCATAGCAGTATGGATATAACACTTACAGAATTCTTATAACTCATTATTTTGTTACATGTAAGTAAGTACTTATCATGTACTTACTTACGTTATTATAATGTGCATGTAAGATATTTCAATATAAGGCAAAGGTCCCATTTCAAGGTACATAAAATTTGCATAATTTATTCAATCAGTGCAGATTGCAAAGAACTTAAAAAGTAAAAAAAAAAGAAAAAGACTACCCAAATGCTATAAATAATTGCCTTTTGATGAATTTGAATACCTTAACGTTCATCAGGGCGGTGCAGGTGTGAATTCGAATGCATTTACGTACATTTTTAATTTGAACTCGCTTTTTACACGTTTATGTGAGAAAATCATGAAATCGCATGCTAATTCAATTAAATTGAATGAACTAGATAGCTTTTTGAATGCTGATCTCGGTGATCATTCAAATTCGCTCGAAAATTGAATGATCGCATTGTTAAATCGAATGCAATTCTGATGAAATTGGACGGGACAACCTATAATAATAATTTTTAGATAAATTCAAAATCTCATTTAAGGCTACATCCAATGGGAAGAAATAAGAAGGGAGAGTGATTCTTGCCTTTGTTTTGGACTCTGATGCTTAATAGGGTCGGTCTTATTCGCATTTGCAAGAAGAGAATTTGCATAATCCTTATGACTGGGAACCACCCCCTTCCCCCTTCAATTTTTTCAACCTAAATATGCTACTGGCTGTTGTTTGGAAGTGGCATCAAAATGATATGTGTGTGAATGTTGCTTCATTTCAAAGAATGCAACTACGCAATGTGGGACGCCATATGACATGTGACACAAAATCACTCCAAATAATTGATTATGTCACAAAAGCAATCTCACAATGTGATTTTGTCACAAAATCAATCTCACATAACAATTATGTCCATGGAATCACACCCATGAGAAATTTTGTAGATGGAATCATTTCAAACCACAGGTGATTTTGTCCACGGAAACAAACCGCGAGTAATTCTGTCCACCCCTGTGGATGATTTTGTCTACAGACGCACTATACTGACATCGATTTTGTCAAACCGTGAAGATATTTTGTGAACTCTTGTATCCGAATTAAACAAGGCACTTCCAGATTAAAGATGCTTATGATCAATTAGACATAGATATTTGAAATGCTTGAATTAATCTAGAAGATACGTAGAAGATTTCCTGGTGCCAAATCGGTTTCATTGATATTAACCCAAACTTTAAACTATAGAATATTAAAAATTATATTCTGCATTACACATTTTTTGGTTTTTGATTGGTTGAGAGCTCTTCACGTGACCAGAAATATTTAAATCATTTTAAGGTTGCTCTGAGTACTATTTGGGAGTTGAAAATTCCAAAATCTTTCCTTTTCTGTATTGCTCTCATATGGTATTGTGTGGCTGTTGGTGTGTGCATACACATGTACATGCATGTCAATAAATGCTGTAGAAAATGTCTGGTCATTTTTTTCCCCCTTCTAGAAATATATATACCTTGTAATTTTGTATTTCTTGTGCAATTTATTTTGATATTGTGTTCACTCATTTCCTCATATACCAAACACAACTTGCTTCTTAGAGGATCTGACCTGTAATTTGTAAAAGAAAAATCATGCCAAATGAATATAATTAGATTAAAAGCCATGCATGTGGAGATTCAGTTCAAGTTTGAGTGTTTATAAGATGGCCATTATTTTGTATCAATCATCAATTTCTAACCTTTTCCAAGTTTGATTGATTTTTAAAATTTGTCATAGAGTTTTCTGAGAGCCAATTTTACTAAAGGCTTGAATTCACCAAACTGAACCATAGCAAGAAACCTCCTGACTTAGGGGTCTTGTGCACATGAAATCCAGCTAGAGTAAAGAATACCTTAAATATATTAATATCAAATATATATTTATGCATATTAACAATTTCAATGTTAGTAGGAGTTACACTATAAAATGCAAACAGGATGGAAGCCCTATAAAGAATAGATATAGAATTTTGAATAAAAAAAATCATTATTAAAAAAATCATCCTCTCCATGGAAACTTTAGTATGTTCCCCTAATTCAAGAGACAAGAATCGAATTTGAAAATAAAATCTATTTCATCATTTTTTGTGAGAATAACATGTTATTATAAATACAAGTATGGATTGAATGGAATTTGTATAATATATAAGAATACAGTCAGAAATTAGTAAAATAAAATGTATGCATGTATAGATGAGTTACTTAACTATTTTCATCATGAACGCAGGTCAAGACTCTCAAGCTTTCTCGTGTCAAGTGTCCCACACCAGCCTCATCGCATCATCTAGTAGAAGCACTTTGTTCTATGCCAAACCTGACTGACCTGACACTTGGAATGTATCTCAATGAGGAGTCCAATGAGGATTTCTACTCTTCATTGAAAGCACATGCATCATCCATACAGGTATGTGTGTCCCAATGATAATGTCATGGAGAGGCTTATTAAAAGAAAGAAAGAGCAGTTACAATGATTATATGGTGCACATGTATACATCATTTTTTCCAAACACCCTTTTTTAATGGCCATGCACTTGGCGTATAGGTACAGTCATGAAAAATATAATAAAAGCAAACTATACATGTACTGATTCAGCTGAAATCCAAATGTGTATAAGATTGACGTTGTTTTGATCAATAACCAATATCCATCCTTTTCCAAGTTTAATTGATATGAAAAATGTGTCATATAGTTTTGTTAGAGCCAGTTTTGATAAAGGCTTGAATTTACCAGCTGAACCATAATAAGAAACCTCCTGACTTAGGGGTCTTTTGCACATGAAATCCAGAGTAAAGAATACCTTAAATACTTAATATCAAATATATATTTATGCATATTAACAATTTCAATGTAAGTGGGAGTTACACTATTAAATGCAAACAGGCTGGAAGCCCTATAAAGAATAGATATAGAATTTTGAAAAAAAACATTACTAAAAAATCATTCTCTCCATGGAAACTTTAGTATGTTCCCGTAATTCAAGAGACAAGAATCGAATTTGAAAATAAAATCTATTTCATCATTTTTTGTGAGAATAACATGTTATTATAAATACAAGTATGTATTGAATGGGATTTGTATAATATATAAGAATACAGTCAGAAGTTAGTAAAATAAAATGTATGCATGTATAGATGAGTTACTTAACTATTTTCATCATGAACGCAGGTCAAGACTCTCAAGCTTTCTCGTGTCAAGTGTCCCACACCAGCCTCATCGCATCATCTAGTAGAAGCACTTTGTTCTATGCCAAACCTGACTGACCTGACACTTGGAATGTATCTCAATGAGGAGTCCAATGAGGATTTCTACTCTTCATTGAAAGCACATGCATCATCCATACAGGTATGTGTGTCCCAATAGTAATGTCATGAAGAGGTTTATTGAAAGAAAGAAAGAGCATTAATGATTATATGGTGCACATGTATACACCATTTTTTCCAAACACCCTTTTTTAATGGCCATTCACTTGGTATATTGGTACAGTCATAAAAAATAAAATAAAAGCAAACTATACATGTACTGTTTCAGCTGAAATCCAAATGTGTATAAGATTGACTTTGTTTTGATTAATAATCAATATCCAACCTTTTCCAAGTTTGATTGTTATGAAAAATATGTCATACAGTTTTATTACTGCCAATTTTAATAAAGGCCTCAATTTACCAAACTTAACCATAGCAACAAACCTCCTGACAAGGGTCTTGGGCAAATGAAATTTAGAGTTATGAATACATTCAATACTTTAATAACAGATGTATATAAATACATATTATTAATTTCAGTATAAGTAGGATTAGGACCTATCAATGCAAACAGGTTGGAAGTCCTATAAAAAGTACATATAGAGTTTTTATTTAAATCACTCTTATTAAATCATCCTCTCCTTGGAAATGTTAGTGTGTTCTTTTTTCAATAGACAATAATTGAATATGAAAAGAAAATCTATTTAATAATTTTTGCGGAAAATATTTTTCATGAATACAACTATGTAATGAATGGAATTTGTATGAAATGTAAAAATATAGGGAAAAATGTGTAAATTAAATGTATGCATGTGTAGATGAGTTACTTAACTATATTCATCATGAACGCAGGTCAATACGCTTGAGCTTTTTGAGGTCAGCTGTCACACACCAGCCTCAGCACACCACCTAGCAGAAGCACTGTGTTCTATGCCAAACCTGACTGACCTGACACTTCAAATGGATCTGGATAAGGAGTTCTACTCTACATTGAAAGCAAATGCATCATCCATACAGGTATGTGTGTTCTAATGTAAATGTCATGGAGAGGTTCATAGAAATGAAGAAAGAGTAGTAATGATTATATGGGGCACATGTATATGTATGTTTTTCTCTACAAATACCTTTTTCTAAAGGCCATTTTCTTGGTTTATTGATACAGTCATGAAACATGGAATAAAAGCAAACTATACATGTACTGATTAAGCTGAAATCCAAGTGTGTATAAGATTGACATTGTTTTGATCAATAATCCATATCCATCCTTTTCCAAGTTTAATTGATATGAAAAATGTGTCATAAAGTTTTGTTAGAGCCCATGTTAATAAAGGCTTCAATTTACCAATTAGTAGGAGTAGGACCTTTCAATGCAAACAGGTTGGAAGTCCTATAAAGAGTACATATAGAGGTTTTTTTTAATCATTCTTACTAAATCATCCTCTCCATGGAGACTTTAGTATGTTCTATTCATCAATAGACAATAATTGAAGATGAAAAGAAAATCTATTTAATAACTTTTGCTGAGAATGTTATTTTGGATATAACTGTTATTAATGGAATTTGTATAAAATGTAAAAATATAGTGAGAAATTTGTTAATAAAATAGAAGCATGTATAGATGAGTTACTTAACTATTTTCATCATGAACGCAGGTCAAGACTCTCAAGCTTTCTCGTGTCAAGTGTCCCACACCAGCCTCATCGCATCATCTAGTAGAAGCACTTTGTTCTATGCCAAACCTGACTGACCTGAGACTTGGAATGTATCTCAATGAGGAGTCCAATGAGGATTTCTACTCTTCATTGAAAGCACATGCATCATCCATACAGGTATGTGTGTCCCAATGATAATGTCATGGAGAGGCTTATTAAAATAAAGAAAGAGCAGTAATGATTATATGGTGCACATGTATACATCATTTTTTGCAAACACCCTTTTTTAATGGCCATGCACTTGGCGTATAGGTACAGTCATGAAAAATATAATAAAAGCAAACTATACATGTACTGATTCAGCTGAAATCCAAATGTGTATAAGATTGACGTTGTTTTGATCAATAACCAATATCCATCCTTTTCCAAGTTTAATTGATATAAAAAATGTGTCATATAGTTTTGTTAGAGCCAGTTTTGATAAAGGCTTGAATTTACCAGCTGAACCATAATAAGAAACCTCCTGACTTAGGGGTCTTTTGCACATGAAATCCAGAGTAAAGAATACCTTAAATACATTAATATCAAATATATATTTATGCATATTAACAATTTCAATGTAAGTAGGAGTTACACTATTAAATGCAAACAGGATGGAAGCCCTATAAAGAATAGATATAGAATTTTGAAAAAAATCACTATTAAAAAATCATCCTCTCCATCGAAACGTTAGTATGTTCTCTTAATTCAAGAGACAAGAATCGAATTTGAAAATAAGTATGGATTGAATGGAATTTTTATAATATATAAGAATACAGTCAGAAATTAGTAAATAAAATGTATGCAGGTATTGATAAGTTACTTATTTATATTCATCATTAACGCAGGTCAAGACCCTCGAGTTTAATCATGTCAAATGTCCCACATCAGCCTCATCGCATCATCTAGTAGAAGCACTTTGTTCTATGCCAAACCTGACTGACCTGACACTTGGAATGTATCTCAATGAGGAGTCCAATGAGGATTTCTACTCTTCATTGAAAGCACATGCATCATCCATACAGGTATGTGTGTCCCAATGATAATGTCATGGAGAGGCTTATTAAAATAAAGAAAGAGTAGTAATGATTATATGGTGCACATGTATACATCATTTTTTGCAAACACCCTTTTTTAATGGCCATGCACTTGGCGTATAGGTACAGTCATGAAAAATATAATAAAAGCAAACTATACATGTACTGATTCAGCTGAAATCCAAATGTGTATAAGATTGACGTTGTTTTGATCAATAACCAATATCCATCCTTTTCCAAGTTTAATTGATATGAAAAATGTGTCATATAGTTTTGTTAGAGCCAGTTTTGATAAAGGCTTGAATTTACCAGCTGAACCATAATAAGAAACCTCCTGACTTAGGGGTCTTGTGCACATGAAATCCAGAGTAAAGAATACCTGAAATACATTAATATCAAATATATATTTATGCATATTAACAATTTCAATGTAAGTAGGAGTTACACTATTAAATGCAAACAGGCTGGAAGCCCTATAAGGAATAGATATAGAATTTTGAAGAAAAAAATCATTATTAAATATCATCCTCTCCATGGAAACTTTAGTATGTTCCCCTAATTCAAGAGACAAGAATCGAATTTGAAAATAAAATCTATTTCATCATTTTTTGTGAGAATAACATGTTATAAATACAAGTATGGATTGAATGGGATTTGTATAATATATAAGAATACAGTCAGAAATTAGTAAAATAAAATGTATGCAGGTATTGATAACTTACTTAATTATATTCATCATTAACGCAGGTCAAGACCCTCAAGCTTGATGATGTCAAGTGTCTTACACCAGCCTCATCGCATCATCTAGTAGAAGCACTTTGTTCTATGCCAAACCTGACTGACCTGACACTTGAAATGGTTCTGGATAAGGAGTCCAGTGAGGATTTCTACTCTTCATTGAAAGCACATGCATCATCCATACAGGTATGTGTGTCCCAATGGTAATGTCATGGAGGGGCTTATTGAAAGAAAGAAAGAGCAGTAATGATTATATGGTGCACATGTATACACAATTTTTCCAAACACCCTCTTTTAATGGCCATGCACTTGGCGTATAGGTACAGTCATGAAAAATATAATAAAAGCAAACTATACATGTACTGATTCAGCTGAAATCCAAATGTGTATAAGATTGACGTTGTTTTGATCAATAACCAATATCCATCCTTTTCCAAGTTTAATTGATATGAAAAATGTGTCATATAATTTTGTTAGAGCCAGTTTTGATAAAGGCTTGAATTTACCAGCTGAACCATAATAAGAAACCTCCTGACTTAGGGGTCTTTTGCACATGAAATTCAGACTTAAGAATACCTTAAATATGTGTATAAGATTGACGTTGTTTTGATCAATAACCAATATCCATCCTTTTCCAAGTTTAATTGATATGAAAAATGTGTCATATAATTTTGTTAGAGCCAGTTTTGATAAAGGCTTGAATTTACCAGCTGAACCATAATAAGAAACCTCCTGACTTAGGGGTCTTTTGCACATGAAATTCAGACTTAAGAATACCTTAAATACGTTAATAGCGAATATATATTTATGCGTATTATTCATTTCAGTGTAAGTAGGAGTAGGACTCTTCAATGAAAACGGGTTGGGAGCCCTATAAAGAATACATTGTCATATAGAATTTTGAAAAAATCACTATTACTAAATCATCCTCTCATTGGAAATGTTAGTGTGTTCTTTATCTCAATAGACAAGAATGTTATAATGAATATAATTAATGGAATTTGTATCTAATGATAGAATATAGTGAGAAATTTGTAAATAAAATGTATGCATGTATAGATGAGTTACTTAATTAAAAGGTCCAGACTCTCAAGCTTTATGGTGCCAGTGGCCCACTCTCATCCCCTTTTTTTAAAAGACGCATGCGGTATTTTTATTTTTTGCGGTACTTGTTTACATTAACTTAACCTCTCCTGACCGCGGATAGTCAACCTGTTCGAAACGTTGAGCCACTCCCGCCACCCAGTCTTTTTCAAGACTACACCAACAGTCCTTTTCAGGACTACACACCCTCAAGAAAGATTACCGAGAGCCCTTTTCACGACTCCTCAATCCTCCCTCTCTCTCACATGGTGCACCCGCAAGCCTACTGTATATTGTTACCATTATTCTTCCGTAAAGACTGTTCTGTTTAACGAACATTTAATTTGTTTTTGTTTTTCTTCTTCTGTGTCCTTCTTTTGGTGTTATGAAAGATCTGAATAGCATGAAGAACTGTCTAAGATCATCATTTACATTTTAAGAGGTTTCGTTCTTGTGTTCCTACCGCTGTAGAACCCACTGATTTCTTCGGATGAAATATTGACGCCTGATGCAAAGCTAAGTTTGTTCATGGTTCACTCTTCCATGAAGACTGTTCTATTTAACGGATTTTAAGCTTGTTGTTTTTTCTTCATCTGTGTCCTCTTTCGGTGTTTTAAAAGATCTTAATTGCACGAAGAACTGTCTAAGATCATGATTTAAATTTTGAGAGGTTTTGGTCCCGTTTTTTTCCCACTGTAGAACCCCCTGATTTCTGGGGAAGAAATATGGACGCCCGGTTGAAATCTACGTTTTTTCACGGATCACCGCCAATCGTCGGTGCTGGACAGGTGGAATTTGCGGGAACATTGGACCGTCTCTACGCTGGCTGGCACTGGGCTTTGCGGGCTGCGAGCCATCCAGGCCGTCTCTGTCGTTGGTGTCGCGATGGAATATCGGATTTTGCGACCGAACAGCGGGCTTTCGCGAGCTGCGACCCCGGCGACACTCTGCTCCAGCACGCGGGCGAAAGCGCGCGATCCGGGGGGCGGAGGGGAAAAAACTGACGTGTTCCAACGGCCCATAATCTATATTGTATTACTATTATAATATAAGAATACAGTCAGAAATTAGTAAATAAAGTGTATGCATGTACAGATTAGTTACTTATTAACTATATTCATCATGAACGCAGGTCAAGACTCTCGAGCTTCATGATGTCGGGTTTCCCACACCAGCATCATCACATCATCTAGTAGAAGCACTGTGTTCTATGCCAAACCTGACTGACCTGACACTTGGAATGGATTGGGATGAGGAGTTCTACTGTACATTGAAAGCAAATGCATCATCCATACAGGTATGTGTGTTCTAATGTAAATGTCATGGAGAGGGTCATAGAAATGAAGAAAGAGTAGTAATGATTATATGGGTCACATGAATATATATATATATGCTTTTCTCTACAAATACCCTTTTCTAAACGCCATTTTCTTGGTTAATTGATACAGTCATGAAACATGGGATAAAAGCAAACTCACATGTACTGATTCAGTTGAAATTCAAGTGTATATAAGATTGACATTGTTTTGATCAATAATCCATATCCGTCCTTTTCCGAATATGATTTATAGGAAAATTATGTCATAATGACTTTAAGAGCCAATTTAAAAAAAGGCTTGAATTCACCAAACTGAACCATAGGAAGAAACTTCCCAACTTAGGGGTCTTGTGTACATGAAATCCAGAGTAAAGAATACCTTAACCCTATGTTAACTGGGGGGGGGGGGGGGGTCAATTTGACCCCCCCCCCCCGTAGTAATTTACCGACTTCTCCGGAACCGCGGCAGATGTAAAGTTGTCCTTTCATGACTTTTTTCTTTCGAGTCTTACGCATCTTTTGAAACAAAATTTTCGAAAATCGGACCTACGGTTACAAAGTCACATGACCTTTTGTCTTTGGATGTCAACCGAAAAATCGCTCATTTTTGTAATTTGTGTACAAAACATATGGAAATACCATTTTTCCTAAAAAGAGATAAAACATTGGTTATTTGGTCTTGTTTGAAGTTTAGGTGTTTTTGGGGGGTCAAAATAGTTGAATTGTAGTTAGAAATTAAATAAAACAACAATAAAATACATAAGTTAAAAAAACAATGAAATACATAAGAAATTATCAAAACAAGAGATAACATAAGGAATAACCTGGGTCTTCCAAATTTTTGTTTGTATTATTATTCCAAATGGTCTAACGAATATATGTAATGAAAAAAATGCTTAAATATGAATAATATATGATTTATGGGTAAAAATGTGAATTTCATGACTTCATTTGCATAAAATACCAGAAATATGCAAATGAGTGAATTTTTCAAAAAATTGAAATTACCATAGTATACTATACACTTCACTTGACATGCATGCAAATTTTCGCGGCGATCGGCCGTTAAACGGTCGAGATCTAAAGGGGGGGTCAAATTGACCTCCCCCCCCCCCCTCCCCAGTAAAAACCTGGTCTGAAATAGCCCAGTTAAAATAGGGTTAAATACATTAATTTAAAAAATATGTTTATGCATATTTACAATTTCAATGTAAGTAGGAGTTACACTATTAAATGCAAACAGGCTGAAAGCCCTATAAAGAATAGATATAGAATTCTGAAGAAAAAAATCACTATTAAAAAATCATCCTCTCCATGGAAACTTTAGTATGTTCTCTTACTAAGAGACAAGAATCGAATTTGAAAATAAAATCTATTTCATCATTTTTTGTGAGAATAAGATGTTATCATAAATACAAGTATGGATTGAATGGAATTTGTATAATATATAAGAATACAGTCAGAAATTAGTGAAATAAAATGTATGCAGGTATTGATGAGTTACTTAATTATATTCATCATTAACGCAGGTCAAGACCCTCAAGCTTCATATTGGCGAGTGTCCCACATCAGCCTCATCGCATCATCTAGTAGAAGCACTTTGTTCTATGCCAAACCTGACTGACCTGACCTTTGGAATAGATCTGGATAAGGAGTCCAATGAGGAGTTCTACTCTTCATTGAAAGCAAATGCATCATCCATACAGGTATGTGTGTCCCAATAGTAATGTCATGGAGAGGTTCATTGAAAGAAAGAAAGAGCAGTAATGATTATATGGTGCACATGTATACACCATTTTTTCCAAACACCCTTTTTTAATGGCCATTCACTTGGTATATTGATACAGTCATAAAAAATAAAATAAAAACAAACTATACATGTACTGTTTCAGCTGAAATCCAAATGTGTATAAGATTGACTTTGTTTTGATCAATAATCAATATCCAACCGTTTCCAAGTTTGATTGTTATGAAAAATATGTCATACAGTTTTATTACTGCCAATTTTAATAAAGAACTCAATTTACCAAACTTAACCATAGCAACAAACCTCCTGACAAGGGTCTTGGGCAAATGAAATTTAGAGTTATGAATACCTTCAATACATTAATAACAGAGGTATATGAATACATATTATTAATTTCAGTATAAGTAGGAGAACGACCTATCAATGCAAACAGGTTGGAAGTCCTATAAAGAGTACATATAGAGATTTTATTTAAATCACTCTTATTAAATCATCCTCTCCTTGGAAACGTTAGTGTGTTCTTTTTTCAATAGACAATAAAATCTATTTAATAATTTTTGCAGAAAATATTTTTCATGAATACAACTATGTAATGAATGGAATTTGTGTGAAATGTAAAAATATAGGGAAAAATGTGTAAATAAAATTTATGCATGTATAGATGAGTTACTTAACTATATTCATCATGAACGCAGGTCAAGACTCTCAGGCTTTATGCTGTCAGCTTTCCCACACCAGCCTCATTACAGTTCCTAGCAGAAGCACTGTGTTCTATGCCAAACCTGTCTGACCTGACACTTTATGAAATGGGTGTCCATGAGCAGCTCTGCTCTGCTTTGAAAGCAAAGGCATCATCCATACAGGTATGTATGTCCTAATGTCAATGTCATGGAGAGGTTCATTGCAGACAAAAAAGAGCAGTAATGATTATAGGGGGCACATGTATATAATTATATTTTTCTTCTTTCAAACACCCTTTGTTAACAGCCATTCACTTGGTATATTGGTAGTCGTGAAACATGGAATAAAAGCAAACTATAATGTACGTAGTGATTCAGTTGAAATCCAAGTGTGTATAAGATTGACATTGTTTTGATCAATAATTAATATCCAACCTTTTCCAAGTTTGATAGATATGAAAACTATGGTATGTCTAAGTATAAGATTTGTTCTAACAGGTAGTTTTTGTATACTTGATTTCAGTATCATAATTAAATTACTACTGCTATAGTGAATACTACTACCGGTACTACTACAGTATTAAAACTACCACTATGATTGATAGTTAAGTATTTCATGAAATTGCAGTACCGGTATGTATTGGATCCATTCATTTTTGAAATTTTGGTAAATCTCTTGTGCAAATTTTTTCTTACTCTAGCTCTTTTAAATTATCCATATTCCTTTTGTTTATGAGATTTTACTGTAGCTCTTGGGTGTATAGTCCCCAAGAAAATAGATTATATGCCATAATGAAATGGATCCAATTACCTGTAACTGTTTAAAAGTAATGTTGTTGTTATATGTTACAGGGTTGTTTTCCTCAGATTAGAAAGGGAAACTTCAGGTTCAATGGAGTTGCTCAAAAGGACTTCAACTCATTTCTTCACACCCTCTCATGTATTCCAAGGTAAGTACAGTAGGCCTATATGTGATTTTAAAAATTCAGATAACAGCATGTAGACTTTTCATGAGTAGTGCGATACAGGAACAATATAAAGAGCCTCTAATGGAATACTAAGAAAAGATGCAATGCTGATATATAACCCCATCAGGGAGCATGCACTAAAGTGAAACTGTGTACCTTAAAATAATGTAAGATTTCTTGTCTGACAACACAAAATATTCAGTAACCGCTTTATTGAACAAATTCCTTACTGTAAAGTGCTTTTAACCTAATAAATTTGTAGATTTGTGTGTGTTCTTGATATTTTTTTTACAATGTAGTCTCTTTTTTTTCTTCTTCTTCATTCACTGATCAAATTGTTTCTTGAGACTGGAACTTTCAATAATATCAAGATAAGTTGATTTCTTATTTTTCATCTTTCAAACATATAATAAGATAAGTCTCTCTCCTTTACAGCTTATTTGACCCAGACGCCTCAAGTGACTTGGATGGCTCGGCCAACTCGGGCAACTCAAATGACTCAGACGGCTCAAGTGACTCGGACGCCCCGGCCAACTCAGGCAACTCAAATGACTCGGACGGCTCAAGTGACTCAGATGCCCCGGCCAACTCAGGCAACTCAAATGCCTCGGACAACTCAGCCGACTGTGGCAACTCAAATAACTTGGATTGCTTGGCTGACATGGCTAACATCAGTGTTACCACTGATGTACACTCTTCAAGAAGGACATTACCACCATCAGACCACCGTCAACAGCAACCCATGGGGGATGTACACTCTCCAAGAAGGACAATTCCTTCATCAGACCACCCTCAACAGCAACCCATGGGTGATGTACACTCTCCAGGAAGGGCAATTCCTTCATCAGACCACCCTCAACAGCAACCCATGGGGGATGTACACTCTTCAAGAAGGGCAATGCCTTCATCAGACCACCCTCAACAGCATGTTGGCAATACATCAGATGCTGTATGTCAATTCTCTCAGACACACAGAGAAGGTAGCAGTAGTCAGAGCAGGCCTTACAAGAGGCAACCTCCTTCTACTCAGTCGAGAGTTCAACAGGATGATCCTGGAATTCCAGAGAAGCAATCAAAGTATGAAGTCTAGTTGCTATGGGATCAATAGAGTAAGACAGTGTCCCAGTGGTAACACCTTATCTTGACTTAGTGTATGTATGATACAGGGCTCCACACTAACTTTTATTTTTGGAAAATAGCTTCATATATAACTTTTTACACTCTGTATGCATGAGTCCTAAGAAAAAAACTTCAAAATTTGGGAGTCGGACCTAGTTTTGGCGGTCCATGTGTCCAGGCTAGCTTGTTGGTTTTGAGTCCTGGTCTGATAGGAAGAAATTTGTGGTAAAAATGGGTAATTTTGGGCAATATTTGCAAACATTTGAATATTTGTGAAAAGGCTGTTTTCTTCCCTTTCACCTTGATGAGTACAGTCCACTATCTGGTCTTACTGTGTATACATTCTACGAGAGAGAGAACATAATATTGTCCTAATGTTTGAATATAGGTCTATATATAGAAAGTGATACAAAAATTGGATACCTGTTGTAAATGTGAACTCAATAATCCCACAACAGAGTTGCATCAAGAGCCGATTGTGTACTTGTTTTATGCAGAAAGGGGTCATGTTGTGCTATAAATGTTTTTGAAAATACTCTAAATAGGAGGTCATGTTTTACTCGGCTATGATCATGCATTATGCATGTGTATAGAAGGTGACAACACCAGGGACTAGTAGTTATAATGATAATAATGATGGCCTCTGATATAGTGCACTCGCCCGTTGCACCATGACACTCCTGGTGCTCAAACATTATTACCCTGGTCCTAGGCGGTGGCCAAATATGTAGATCTTTGGCATGTCGGGTGCCCATTTATACCTGGGTGGAGAGTGGCAAATGTGGATTAATGCCTTGCCAAGGATGTTAGAGCTGGGCTAGCTGGGATTTGAACCCTCAACACTGGGATTGAGTATAGTGAGTGAACCACTATACCAGCTCTTAATGCTATCATGTCAACTAACCACTCACAAGGGAGGATGTAGTAACTTGCACGGTATTTGATAAAAATATAATTAAATAAAGTCTGAAATGATATGTTTGATTTATCACCAGAGATGACCTATTGTTTTATCTACATTGTCAACTAACCGCACACAATTGAAGATTTAGTTTTCTGCACAACATACAAGTGCTGTTCGGTGGTTAATGTCTATCAGCTAGACTCCCAGTACACAATATCATCATGATATAGAATGAGTGAAGATTATTTCTGTGTTTTCACTTTTTTCTGCTCTAAGCGTTCTTGCATTTTGATCGCAGCGCTCTTCCTGAAAGCATTTGTTAAATTGAAGCCCATGTTTGATAAAGCTGCCATGAATAACAAATGAGTCGATCATACATTAGACAGCTTTAATATAATGCATGTAGAGAGTATATGTGTATTGTAGACTTTAATCACTTTGCTTTAGGTAATTTGCATGCAATGTATGAAATACCACCCAACTTTCACAAAGCGAGTACCGTAATGAGTTGAAGAATGTAACATTTCAAATTATCTTATCAAAATGTCATTGCACATGTTCAATGAAAATATAGTGTAGTAGAAATTGATACCAGGAATGGCCCAGATGTTAAGAGCCATATATCTTTAGTTATCTTGTATATTAACTTGATAGAACTCAATATGATAGTTGAGAACTAGCTTTGTCTACAGTCTGGTAAGGGTGTGTGAACATGGTCTGAGTTATCAGTGTAACAGTTTGTTGGAGATGTACTGCTGTTTGTATATTTATAACTACATTCAGTTCTAGATTTAAACTCCATCTGAGGAAATTATTTTCCTGGATTTTCTTTACAACACTCCAGTGTAAATGTAAATATGTGCTATGATTTTAAGATACATGTCTCTTTTGTCAATGTAACATGCCTGAGTTATCAGTGTAATATTTAATTTGAAATAGATTATTGTTTGTACATGTTTAACTACAATCACCAGTGACCAGTACTACATAATAAATCCATCCATTTATTACATCACTCCAGTGTACATATAAATATGCTGTTATAATTGTAAAATACATGTTTATACTAATTGTTTCCAGTACTGGATTTCAATAATTTGTATGAAACATATTCCAGGCTTTTCTTCACCTCATGATTATGATTATGCAATGGTATCGTAACATGTATATTTTGAACTTGTTTGTCTGCCATACATACTTGCCTTGTAAATAAAAATAATATTTTAGTAAGTTTGCCTTCCTGATCATTGGCTAATAAGATACAAATGTAAGCAGTACTCTTATGAGCATTCTGTTACCTTGCCTTTTGACCTTTTGATATAATTTTCATGATAGACAATTCAAATCGCTCAGATATGTACGTATACAGTGAGTTTATTCTGAATTATGTCATGCAATATAATGCACTTAACCCAGGTCTTTCAATGTATATTGGATGCCCAGGTCGAAAATCCCATAGAGACCAATAGAGACCATTAGAAAAATTCTATTGGTCTCTAATGGTTTCTGTTGGAGTCTATTGGTTTCTGTTGGACCCATAGAATTGAATCCAATAGAGACCATTCAAACCATCATAAACCAATAGAAACCAATAGCACCCATAGAAACCAATAGAAATAGAAACCAATAGGACCAATAGAAACCAATAGGACCAATAGAAACCAATAAGACCAATAGAAACCAATAGGACCAATAGGACCAATAGAAACCAATAGGACCAATATAAACCAATAAGACCAATAGAAACCAATAGAACCGATAGGACCAATAGGACCAATAGGACCAATTGAAACCAATAGGACCAATTTAAACCAATAAGACCCATAGAAACCAATAGAACCGATAGGACCAATAGAAACCAATAGGTCCAATAGAGACCAATAGAAACCAACAGCTAAATCTATCTCGTGCATATTCATGATTACTTTATACGTGTTCACAGAAAATTAAATTTATCATAATTTGTTAAGCAACTTATGACAATGTACATCAATTTTGTGATTTTTATTTTCTTTTGGCAACTAATGACCAATAGATTATTTGTTTAATCATGTTACAATTTCATTCACGTTTTAGCAATAGATATATTGATTATAATGATTACTATAAAATACTAACCAAGAAACAATTCATGTATGTTTATTATATAGAATAGTACAAGCATTCTGTTAAAATAAAGGATATTCTTCAACTCACTTCAAGTGATCTATGTGATGAAGTTAATGCAATTGAGATTAGAATATACTTTTTTTGGTGGAAAGTTGCTAAAATCGATTTTGATTGATCATTATTGATTTACCAATAGAAGCCATTGGACTATTGGTTTCAATAGGGAATTCAGAATATGGGACCATTAGAAACCCATAGAAAGATCTCTAGTGGACCAACAGGAACCCATAGAAAATATCTAATGGACCAACAGAAACCCATCATAGAAGAACATATCTAATGGACCAACAGAAACCCATAGAAGACATGGGTGGATGCTGGTCCAATAGAAGCTTTCTGTTGGTCCATCAGCATTTTTTCTGTGGGTTTGTGTTGGTCCAATAGATATTTTCTAATGGTTTCTGTGGGTCCATCATTTCACTTTCCCTATTGAAACCATTAGACACCAATAACTCTAATGGTTTCTGATGGTCCAATAGGATCGGATCCTAATGGAATTTCGACCTGGGTGATCATGAATTACTGAAATAAAGTTTGCAGTGCCTTATATATTTCAACATTTTGATGTACAAAGGAGTTGTAGTTTGATGATAGTGTATTTGTATCCTATAGCTGAAATGGTGTCACGTGACATTCAACATTGTTCCTCGATATATATTTCATTGAAACACCAAATACACTGAAAGTGTATCAGCTTTTTATACTCCAATAATGCACAAACACGTTTAAATTTAGTAAAAATTCTTTAAAAAAATAAAAGGTTTGTTTCCATTACTAATTTAAGTATGTGCACATTAAATGTTACAAGTTCAATATTATCTTTATGGTTCTCTTGTTTGTCTTTTATCAAATTATTAAATTGATATCAAGAATATTTTCAGTAATTCATTAATTCAAATAACAATTTATTGGTGCCAGTAACTTTCTTTTTTAATTGCTTCTATTAATTTTGTCATTAATTATTATTATGATTATTATTTTAATTATTTTTCTATATGATTGTTATCGTTATTGTTACTATTATTATTATCACAATTTTATATCACTATAGTTGTTAGAGATATTTTTATTGATAACATTTAATTTGATTAAACTTGTATAATGTACAGTGTTAAATTGACAAATTCAAACTGATTGTTAACTTCTTCAATACCCCAATGTGGGTGACATGAGAATAAATTGTCATTGTCATTCTAGTTCTCTACGTACCTATTGTTTGCATTGTCTCAACTGCACGCATCTGGCGCTCAGGCAACCTGCAACTAATCAAGAGGGCATGACTCCAAAGGTTCGCAAATACCAACAGATTTATAATATTGCATACATATCATTATTCAGTGTAACATGTATTCATCTCCAAAATCAGAATCCCCCTAGTGCCGTTATATTTCAACCTCAGCCTATGGACTCAGTGAAATTCAGGAAATTCTGATTTTTTTTTCCCGGTTCATATACATACATGTTTACAAATATATACATATGTATTTGTAATCTATGCAAATATGATTACTTACCGTAATGAAGATGACATCATATATCAAAGAATAATTTTAAAACAAAATACCTACTTCAGTTTAGAACATATAAGAATAAAAGAAAAGGGAAGGTATATAAGAAGAGAGAGAGAAGAAGAAGAAGAAGAAGAAGAAGAAGAAGAAGAAGAAGAAGAAGAAGAAGAAAGAGTATTATAGTCACACTCTGTCCCATGCACATGAGAATTATATCATTGAAATGAATAACAGTTAAAGGGAAAGTCCACCCTAGCTAGTTGTGATCAATCAAATACAAATTGGCAACTCTAGTATTATATACGAGCTCTCCTTCCGTGTGCTTTGTGCATAGTATTCCATAAAATCATGTTTTCGTGTTATTGATGACGGAATATAATTGTTCCTTGCAGGGGTAGTGGCAACATAATTATTTGCAATTATTATACTTAGGGTGCATGTATGT